TTTAGCAGCTTACGAGGTCAACCTGACGCACAAGTCATCTCATAGCTTCTTCGGCGAGAACGCTAGTCTCTAGTCGGCATCATGGCAAATAGTGATCAGAGGACAAATGAATCGTGGACGAATGGAATCTCAAAAACAAAAGATCATGGACTCACATTTTTAAGGTGCTCTATTTTCTTCATGAAGATTGTTGGAACCCCTTTTCTTTCTTTTTTTTCTTCTTGTTTTCTGTTTTTTTTTCTTTTTCTTTTTCTTTTCAACGGTTCCAACCTGTTTTTCAGAAAATGGGGGCTCCCACCTAGCAGAGATTTTGCTGGAGCCCAGATCTCACCGGCCATGCCAGGACCAGATGTCTCAAACCTCGTGCGGGGGAAAGAAATGTAAGGGGGCTGGAGGTAGTAGGTGGAAATTGGGAACGGATTCCCGTCTCCCCTTACACACTTTCGCCCTATTCGCACGGGAGACGTTATTTTAAAGCACATTTTCGAGCACCTTTTATTTCAAAACATGATACATGAGTTCATGACAGGTACAGAGTCCACAACACCACACAATTCAAGGGTCCTAAGATCACTAATTCACACAATCAACCAACACAATATGAAGAAGAAAGGAGACTTCTTAAATGCATCAACATCCTACATAGTGCTACACTACCTCCCTAGGTTGCACACTACTATAGAGACTGTCAATTCAAAGCATACTGAGCAGGCAATTGCAAGGAACACATACTTGGAACCCTCAAATCGAAATTTGGACAGTGGACTAGGCTCCAAGCACACTCATACAGCCAAATATTCACGCGCATACATAATCAAACATCCCCCCACACTTAAGCATGACATTGTCCTCAATGGAGGAAAGATAAGGAGGGTAAAACAAAGTTACCATATCAAGGGTGAATGATGGTGGACGGGGCAGACGGTGCATTCCGGGAGGAGAGAGTAGTTGGAACAAAAAAACCACACAAAATCTAACAAAGGTTGAGTTATTGACTCTAAAATCAAAGAACAAAACTGACTCAATCGAGGAGATATAGAGAAAGAAATGCAAACCGACTGGTTGGGATTCCTCCCAACAAGCGCTTCTTTCACGTCGTGAGCCGAACGATGGCTCCTAAGTTTCGGTCCCCAGAACCTTTTTGAAGTTGAGGTTCTCGTCGATGAGGTGGAGTCTCAAGTCACGAACATGTAGTATGATAGGTGATGGAAGCTCGTGCACTTGATATAGATGAAGTCTCCACCCTTGAGACCTCTTCTTCTCTTCTCTTATCTTATTGCCCCAAACCAGATATGACAACATCGATTGACCACCATCGCGTCCATCAAGAGGGAATGATGTCGATGTGGCCTTGGTGTGACAATGAGACACTGCAAATGGGTCCTTGCTAAGCATTTCCTCGAATTTTGGTGGGGATATTACTTGCTACATAAGGCCGATGCAAGCCTCTACCACCTCAAGTTTGTCCCCAGCCTGGATGCCAATTGCTTCTTCAACCCCCCTTCCTTCTTCAGAATTTAATTCCTCCCTTCGGAAAAGATGAAGAACTTCCTCTAATTCACTTCCTTCATCCTCCACAACTTCTTTCCTCGTCCTTTCTCGCTCTTCTTCTTCTAGCACGGATTGGAGAGCAAGTTGCCAAGAAATTTCTTTCATGAGATCATCTTGCATCTTCTTGCTTATGCCCACCTCTTCAAAGCTCGGTGTGGGATGTGGGAAGGTGTGGTCGGCTACAACAGGACATTCTTGATCATGATATTCACGAGAGTTCTCCATGACAATTTCTATTTGCTCCACAATGTCCTTGTAGCCTTCTTCTTCCTCCTCTTCAAGTATGGTAGCAGAAGGGTGATGTTAAGCAAGTTGTGCACAAACTTGCTCAACCCGCTCTGTTTGCTTTGCTGAGTGAGGAACAGTCTCCTCCGATTCACAAAGGGATGAAGAGTTAGGAGGAGCAAAAGATGGAAAAAGGAGGCCCATCTTGCGATTGTGTCTCTCGGTCAATTCATAGTTTGGATCTGGTCGTGGAGTGTAACATGGCTCTGCAGAATGGCCCGTGAAGGCCGCCATTGCTAACTCCAGCTCCGATGGCCCTTCTGGTTGTGGGAGGAATTCTTCTTCATAAGGATAATGTTCGTGAAATGTCCAAGGGTGCGGTTGTTCTCCATAGTAAGGGGGTTGGTACTAGAACCCGAATCCATAGTCTTCTCCTCCTTGATTGCTCCAGGAAGTCTTGGGGCAATACCACTCGGACGGTGGTGGATACCCCCAATGGTTGGAGAAGCCATGAGGATCCATGATTCAGATCTGCACCAACAAAAACAAAAACACACAAGTGAAAAGCAAGGGTGGAAAAAAAATGCTAAAGTAAAAAACTTCTGCCTTTCCTAATAATCTAGAAAGTCCCCGGCAACGGCTTGACTAGCGATGACACAAATCCTAAGAATGGCCAAGTGTAACCAATGAAATGGACTACAGTACAGTGGCTCAAGTAATAAATTCGAATCCACGGGTCTCTAGAGTAACTATTACTCAGCTTCAGTTCATTATCTAGCAAACCAGATTAAGATGGAAGAACTAAAACTACTCTAACAAACTACAGTTAAAGTTAATCTAATTACAGGTTGGGAACTCACTTAGGTATAATTCCCCCTAGCCACTAGCCAAATTAATGATTGATGATTTCTAACTTGTTTCACTTTCATTCACAAGTAGAGAATCCTTGACTAGACCTTGAATCTCGACTAAAGGATCAAGGCCCTCTTGAGTCGAATGCCTAGAGGGACGTATCCTTCTCTAGAACAACCGATCAAGGCATTCTGAACTAGACTCCCCCTATCGAATGAGTTTCTCAATCGATACAAAGTAGTGAATACCCTCGGCTAAAGCAATCGATCCAATACTATCAATCTATGGTGCTCTATTGACCTAATCAGGTATTCGCTCTCATAGGATCAAAGCAGAATCAATAATCTCAACTAAAGCAGAATTGAATCATGAAAACGTGCATAGATTGAATATGAAATCAAGATTATCAAGTAGGAGTACTCATACAATCATCCAATCAAACAAACATAGCTAGGGTTCCTCAAAACCTAAGTGAAGGGAAGTTACTCCATTGAGAAGAGAGAGACTGCAGTAAGAATATTCAGATGATCAGTCTTCAAGTCCGGGCTTGTTCCTCGAGTTTATAAGGCAAAGAAATCCTCCAATTCCACTCCAAGAATGCCCTCAAATCGTCTTCTCTCTCTTTGGTTCATCCCTTGGGTGTTTGGGATCCAAAACCCAGCTCCCCCCTCCAAAAACGCACAAAACATGCTTTTAACAGCCAGCGTTCGCTACCCGGTCAGGTATTTTGGGTACCCGGCCGGGTATTTTTGGTTCACAACCGGGGGGACTTCTGATGCTGTCAAAAATACCCTATCAGATGGTCAAAAATACCCGGTCGAAATAGGCCAAAGAAGCGATATGAGCTAGGACCTGAAATGACAAAGGAACAAAACCTAGCGTAAAATAGGCCAAAGAAGCGATATTGCAAGCTTAAACGACCAAGAAAGAAAGGGGAAAACATGTACAAATATCAAGTCATCACGTAGCTAGTACATTAGAGATTCATTGAAATTTATTGATAAGACTTAGTCTTTCTTTTGGATGCTTGATTGAATGTTTTTATGAATGCTTTAACTAAAAGAAGTGGAGAAAATGAGTTGTCCTGAAAAGGGCAAAGATCGCAGTCGCGATCTTGGGTGCCTAGCCCGCAATCTTGTCCGTCCCTACTTAAGCATTGGCATCCTCTTTAGATCTAAGTGCATTCACTTTTTCACTATTCTCTAGATCTATATGTCATTACTCTCCATCTCTCTTGACTTTTTGAACCCACCTTCTTTAATCTCATCTTTCAACAACTTTTGCGAAAGATTTTCTATTGATTTATGATTCCCACCATGTCCCCTAGCAAGATAAGGTACACTTTTCCTTGTTTGACTCTATTTAATTGCCTTATCTTGCCCAACATGTGTTGATGGCTTAGAGTCTTTAATGCCCATTTTCTACTTTGAATGACATCTTGATGGCATGCGATTGTTTTTCTTTTCTTTAATGAAACCTCTATGTCATTTTTTTATGCCTTGGTGGGTTGTGCCCTTGCATTTATGTCATCTTCAACTACCACCTACCAAGTGTTTTTGAAATGTCCCAACCACATAGAGTTCATTATTTGCATCATTTTGGATTAAGCATCAATTTCATTGCATGGGGTTGGTCATTAATTTCTCCTCTATCAATTTGTGGATATCCTTCTTACTTTTGTGGAGATATTTCTCTATCCAATTTCCCTCTTTTGCCAAGTTCTTAGTCACATTCAAGTGTGGGGGGAAATTTGGAAATTTCATGATACCCCTATTATGTTCTACCCGATTAATGTCTAATGTTGGATTGATGATTTATGCATATGTGCACCACTTGTTTTGAAGGATAATATACAAGACTAAAGGCATGACTAATGGTGAGAGCTCTTCCTCTCGAACATCTCGTCCTCGCAAGGTCAAAAGAAGAAAACAAGGAAGTCCAAGTCAAAGGAAGTGGTTGTAGAAGACACTCATCCACCATCACAACTTGAACATCAATCAAGGGTAGTTCCTCAATATGAAGAAGGCGTGTAGAGAATATCACTCACTACTTTTTAGCATGGATTACGAAACCGTACCGGACATCAAACCGGAATCGTTTTTGGCATGGTAAATCGTGGTACAACCATGGTTCAACCGTTTCCTACCGGTAAATACCGTTTTTGGATTAAAAAAATTATTTTTCTGTTAAAAAACCGTACCGACAAAATTAGGGTACCATACCGGGAAAATACCGGAATAATACCGGATTATACCGCCTAATTTCCCCACTAATTTCACCCCAAAACCCGTCCATATTCACTCTTCCCATAAGAGACCCAACTCTATCTAGCATCAACTATCCGATTGAAACAAGATCCCCGAAATCTGAAACCCTAGCCGCCGAATTTAAATCCCTAGATTTTGCTACCGACACTCTTCTTCCTAATTCTCTTGTCTTCTTCTTCTTCTTCTTCTTCTTCTTCTTCTTCCGTTCGCCTGTTGTAAGCTGCGATGGCGAAGAAGCGAAAGCTTGACGCTTCGAAAGGCGCTGCATCGTCGAGGCCGCCCAAGAAACAACAGCAGCAGCAACAACAGCTGCAGAAGCTGCAAGAAGAAGAGGCGAAGAAGGTTAAGGTAGAAGAAGAGGAGGAGGAGGTGGAAGAAGTGAAGGAGGAGGTGGAGGAAGAGGAAGAAGAAGTGGAAGAGGAGGAGGACGGCGGCGAAGATGCGAACGAAGGGGATAAGCAGATCGGTTCTTCTTCTGCGGCGGCGTCGGCTCCGGATGACGACGACGACGAGGAGCCGATTGAGAAGCTTCTCGAACCGTTCAGTAAGGATCAGCTCGCTAATTTGCTCCGCGATGCTGCGGAGATCCACCGCGATGTGGCGGATCGCATCCGGAGGATAGCCGATGAGGATCCTGTTCACCGCAAGATCTTTGTTCACCGGCTAGGCTGGGGATGCCGCTGTCGCCGGTGGTGAGAAAATGGAAGCGAGTTTGAGAGGCACAGCGGCGCGGGGGAGACGAGAGGAGAGTGTAGAGAGAAGGAAGAGCGCAGCAGCCGAAGGTAGGGTTTAGTGTAGTCTCTGCTTCTCTTCCAAATTTTTTTTTTAGCTTGGTCAAAAACGGCGCCGTTTGGATTAAATTAAGGGGACCGCCGGTTTTAATAAAACCGGCCGAAATTTCGGCCCATTGCGGTCCAACCGTAAAAACCGCCCGGCAGGCTCTTGGATGGTACACAGCCCCTATTGTGCCGGGCCAGGTCCGGTTTCCGGTTTTTCCGGTCCGACCGGCCGGTCCGGTACGGTATACTGGTCCTTGCTTTTTAGATCATGTACCCAAGCAATTCAAGAGCAAACTTCTATGGCTTCAAGGGTTACCTTTAAAGTAAAAAAAAATGGAATTATTTTCGCCCAACTTGGAATTGAAGATGCAATCCCCTCTAAAGTAAAAAAAATTGGAATGGCTCAAGTTCCACTCTATTCAAGAACACATATATCGGGTGCTTATTCTTGAGTTTATTAGTACACTCATTGCTCGAGACATGAGGGTTGCTGCTGAACTTGAGGATAACATTCGATTTCAACTCAGAGGAGAGTATCGTCACATGTCAATCCGAGAGTTCACTAGAGTAATGGACATCTACCCGGCGGGCTTCATTGATTCACCTCATGATTTCTCCACCTTGACAAGGGAATCCGGCTTCCCTTGTTTCAAGGCCTTCTATGAGTCTGAAGTCAAGAAACCCGAGAGCCGACAATGGGACGTGAGACTATCAAAAGCCAGTAAGGTGCAACCGGAGTGGCGACTCATCCACCACGTGATTGCTAGGTTCGTGGACATCACCCTATTTCATAGCATTCGCCTCCCGCAATCTCTCCATCTAGGCCTATCAATCTTATCTATTTTCAAGTATTACAAGATGGATCACTGAATTGACACACTCCACGGACAAGTGTACGTCACCCGACTTGCCAGATATTTCCATGTCGACTTTGGAGCTGTACAATTTCGTTTGGATCGAATGACCGTTCCTATATCCTTTGGTGTCTTAAATTCAAAACTTAAGGTGTTACACATGAGCAATGATGGCATTTGGGGTGTGCGAGGATTCCCATTCCCAATCACCAATACATTAGACGTGGGAGTAACCGTATTCCATATTTCGGAAACTAGGAGGGAAAGGGACCAAAGAGGATTGACAACCAAGGAAGACCAAGAGGAGAGCGTGCATGAAGGAAGAGAGGTTCCTATTCCCACTTTTCAACCGGTTCACCAACCGAAAAACAATGCAAGAGATTATATAATTGAGGCAATGATAGCGGCTATACTTCACAACCAACGAAGAGAGAAGGAAGCACGACTTCACATTATGGCGTGCATCCACGCGATCATGGAGAAGATGAACATTTCGATCAAAGATGTACCAGCCAAATTAAATTGCTCCTCACCTTCCGCACTTTCCCACGATGAAGAAGAAGGACACTCCGAGGAGGAATGAGTCTAGGCATCCATGACCTAAGTTCTATCTTTTCTTTTTATTTGATTTTCCTTATTTAAATTAGAACAGTGTTTAATTATCGCTTTATTTTCATTTTAACTTTCGTATCTTAAATATTCTATCGCTTGTAGTAGTAGTGGTACTTATTATATATATTTATCGTACCTATAACTCATATTTGTCTTCCTCTCTATCTTATGCTCTTTATCATTGTGAAAACCACCATCAAGACAAAGACTACACTTGTGAAACTTCACCAACCCACAACCCAACCTATGGTAACATTCACGATCTTTTCTTGGCGAACTCTCACATTGAGGACAATGTGTTGCTCAAGTGTGGGGGGGATGTTTGTGCATGTTTGAATGTTATCATGATTGGTGCATGTAAGACGTTGATGAATGCTTATGGGATTATATGCTAGTGATCATGCCTTTGTTGTGGTGATGAATGGTGAAGTATTAATGTTTTGGAACGTTGAATGCACACCCATATTTTTCAATTTTGAGGGTTCCCAAACACCTTGTCTGTGCAATTACCTACTCGATGTGCTTTGATTTGACTAAATTGATTGATGTGTTGTTCATCTTAGGTGATAGTTGCATGGTTTGAGTATCGTTACGTGAGGGATTTTACCACTTTCCTCCTCTAGTGTGAGTCGATAGTGTTTGCTATCTTAAAAAGACATTATGTAAGGGATTCTCTCTTTTTATGTGATCTAAGAACTTTTTCAATTTGTACTTAAAAATAGAAAAGAGGTTCTCACGTGAGTAGCAACTGGGCAAAAGAATTGAGATCAACCGTCATAGGATTGTTCTCTTGGCTCGGAGTGGCCGTCGAGAATGTGTTTGGGGTTCGGATAGCTTTATTGCGTCCCATCTCTTACTACCTACCATTCCCCAAACACCTCTCCTCCTCACGGAATCGTATGATAAGGACCAAAGGTACCTTTTAGCGATTCATGAGACCTCATAGCTCTCGTTTTTACCCAACATGTGTGGCAACCCAATGAGGAGTGCAGGCTGGGACGTGGTGCTCAGGCTCAGATTCATCCGATCTTGGTCCTGAGGGAGAGATGCTATTATGTAATGGAATAAATTGCAAGAGTTCGGTGCAATGTGCATGAACGGAGAAAAAGGATACCGGAAAATGACAACTCCTACACCAAAAGAAAGAATAAAAGCAGCGCTTATATTTCTATTAGTTGTTAGTTGTCGGAGAATCCCCCGGAGCGCATTTTGAACGATCGGCCTCAGGTAATAGATATGGTCCTCTCATGAGAGTTTGTGCTTGCACAGTAGGAAGGTAGTAGCGTTCATTCATCCCTGTATACTCTTATCTATGCAATGAAGAACTAGCATTCATGCCTCATTGATTCATCTATCCTATTGCATTAGGTTTGAGTAGGTTTGCTTGGGGACAAGCAAACGTCTAAGTGTGGGGGAGTTTGATAACACCAAAATCGGTGTTATTTACCCTCCATCTTAGGGTATGTTCTGTGCCAATTCATGTACTTAAGCATTTAAACATTTTCAAATACATCTCTATTTACTTCCTTTTTTATTTTAATGTGATTATAGGGTGTATTAGTCAATATGTGCAAATTAGGTACAAAACAAGGTCACAAGTGTAGAAAAGGGTCAAGGATCAAAGATCGTGGCCTAGAAGCCAAAGATCATGGTCGGGATTTCTAGTCGTGAAGACTTGTTGAAGATCGCAACCCAAAAGCCAAAGATCGCAACCTCGATCTTGAAGCTCAGGGCGTGAACTTCGCGTGGAAGAAGCCTTGAAGAAGCAGAGAGTTTCCCTGGTCGCATCACGGCCAACGTTCACTTAGCCTGCGAGGAAGATCAGGGTCACGACTCGAGGATCGCAACCACGAAATCAGCCCGCGATCTTCCCCCTTTAGAAGGCCAAGACGACGACGTCTTGAGATCGCTGCCTATCCTCAGAAGATCCTGCCCGCGATCTCCCAATCTCAGGCAGCGAACTTCCCCGAGTCCAAAATGCTTATAAATAGAAGACACCTTTCCCCATTTTCAGAGAGCTGATTTTGGGTGAAATTTCTTGATCTAGAGAGAGAAGAGAAAGAAGCTGAAGAGAGGAGAAGAGAAGGAGAAGGAGGAGCTAGGAGTAAGGAGGAGCTACCCCAACTTCAAGTCTTCTTCTATTTCTACCATGTATCTTCTTCCCTCCTTTATCGAGTAGTCCTCTAAGGTACTAGGGGTTCTAAACCCCAAACCCTATTTTTAGGGTTTATTATGTAAGTATAGATATTTTAGGGTTTGAATGAATGAATGAGTTTGTCTCATAGATTCTTAATGTCATTCTTTCTTAAATGATGACGCTTGGGCAACTGGCCCAAATCTTCTCTCTTAACCTGCTTTATGCTACCGAGCTGGGTACGGAGCTCTAGGATTAGACGATTATGCTCTATCTTGAGAGTTTAGGTTAGATGAGTGAATGGGGGCCTATAGTGGTCAAGCGACCGAACCCCTGCTATAGGTAGCCTTCCTAGATGAAACCCAGGGTGAAACAAACCTCGGTGTGAATGGTGGATATTTTCCATTGAAATGAGCCATATTCTTAACGCCCCAGTTACGATAGCCTAGATCGAGGTGACGAAAACATGGGTTTAGGGGAGGCATACTCGGAGGCTTGTGGATAACGACGAACGCCCACAGAAAAGAGCTCACTCACCACATTCGATAACCCTAAGTATCTATACATGCATAATATCCCTATGCTAGGGGGAGGATTAGTTCCCCGAAGTACTTGCTTTTAGCTTTGATCAACCTCTAGACTAGTGTTTCCTCATATCCTCTACTCAAAACCTCAAAAACCGATTACCTAATTAACAACAAGGTGGGAAGTAGGCTAGGGTACAAGGACCTGAGTAGAATACGACCTTGATTACCACTATACGGCATTGTCATCCTAGGTTAAACTTAGTTTAGGATGGGATAGTTATCGATACGTACAAACCACTGACAATATCATGAACGGATTCATGTTATCAAGGAGTCTCTACACCAATACCTTTTAAGTTGTCGTTATGCGAGAGAGACCTGGGACCATTACTTCCCATCCCCCAGTCCCCCTCCTCCTTCTTCCAACCTCCTTGAATGGATATTCCATCTAAAGGATGCCATCCCCATTCAGTCGATCCTCCCGATCATCTTCCTCATCTGGAATGTTTGGAAATCTCGCAACGAAAAAGTGAACCTCAATGCCTCCCCTTGGTCACATGCTCCAATGCTACCCAGGACTTGCTGGAGTGGTCGTCCCCCCCCCCCCCCCACCCCCCGCCCCCATTCGGAGAAATCCTCTTCCCCCATGTCCCAGCTCAACCATCCCCTGAATCAGATTTCGCCACCGCTGAGTTTTCCTCCTTTTGAGGTTCACTATGATGGATCGTTTCTTAGCGATTCCCATGAGGTGGCCTATGGCATTGTTGTCCTCAATAGTCATGGTAAAGTCTGTGACGGGAGAGTAGGGACCTTTCTATGCGCATCTCCTATCGAAGTCGAGACTAAAGCCTTACTTGAAGCTCTGATGCTTGCTCAGGATTTAGCATACCCTGTTCTTGTCCGCACAGACTGTCTATCCCATGTCTCGTCTCTTGCAAACCCGAGGTCATCTTGGAGGTGGTTTTTTTAGCAGTCCTTGGCAACACGACTGATCTGGTGAAGATGAACTCGTTGATTAATATAACACTTAAAAACAACAAACAATGGAAGCAATTGTTTCTGCATAACTCACTGACCATTCACGTACGATCAGGTTTCTTCAAATCTTAGCTTCAAGAATCTTCAAACAAATTTAGATAATCAAATGATAATCACAACTTCTCTAATGGCATAGTATTTCACTCTTTGGTATGTTTAGTGACTCGCCTGTACCATCACCCTGGAAAGTGGTCAAGTGTAACCACCTACTAATGCGTAGTATAGAGGGTTTAGCTTTAATTGTCAACCCGGGTCCCAGATGTGATGACTACTCCGTGAAGTTCTTATTATTTAGCGGTTTAATTGTAGTGAAGTTTTAACTAAGCTAAATAAACTCAAAATAGATAAGGTTGTGGTTCAAGTTTGAGAGAGATCACCCATATATGGTCCCCCCTAGATTGCAGTTAAGTCAGGTTATAATTCTCCAAGTCCATATTCAATGACAGTTATACTGCGGAAGGTTCTTATTCAGTCTAAAGTCTTGACTAAAGGTCTCCAGACCCTCTCAATCTGAATACCTGGTGGGCGACTAACCTCTACCGGAGTAAACAAACTGAGGCCCTAGCGTACAAAACCTCCTCTACTGGATTAAATCCAGTACAGAGCAGTGAATGGACTCCTCGACTAAATTAATCAATTCACCACCTTCAATTAAGGATGCTCTATCAACCTAGGCAGATATTCTCTTTCTAGGTCAAAGTAGGAACTACAGGAATTTGATTAGGATTCATGCAATTCAGAAAATCATGCCTCAATTGAATAATCCATGTCAAAATATCATGTACTTGGGTTCATACAACCAAACCTAACATACAAATCTAGGGTTCTTCATAACTAGGTGAGAGAGAGAGTTTACTCCATAGAGAGAGAAGAGAAATCAGCTTCAGATGCAGAAATCATTATGTGGAGGATGAAAATCAGCGTCTAGTTGTCAATCGGCACTTCTCCAATCTTCAATCGAGCTCCAATGGCGTTAAAACTCGATCTAGGTCACTTTGGAGGCTTTTTTGTCGCTTTGTCTCTCTAGATTTTTTCTCTTTTCCTCTAAAACTCGGATCCTTTGCCAAAGAGCCCAAAATCCCCTTTGAAACAGCAGCAGATCCCGAACCCGGCCCAAATACCCAGTCACGTATTAAGAGGACCGGTCGGGTATTCCGAAACGCTGCGCACAGGAAAAGGGGAAATACCCGATCCTGGGTTAAAATACCCGATCGGGTATTATGGCCTCTCGGGCGGGACCCCCTCTGCCTTCCCGGCCTCCAACTCGCCATTACTCGGCCCCAATCCACTTATATCCGGTCGGGTATTATATTGACCCGGCCGGGTATTTTGCTTGTCAGTTCCTCCTTGCCGCCAACTCTCCATTTTCGACCTGAAAATCACCTCCAAGCCTCCCTTTCCGCGCCAAGTCCTGAAATATGACATAAATGCACAACCCATCATGAAATCGGCTTAAAACCTGAGAATCGACTCTCAAACGGTTCAATAAGGATCACTAAAATGGACTCTTACCTCGACTCCTACTTGTAATAGAGACGGCTTAGCTTCACCTTGTAGGCCTACCCCACTAAGGATCACTAAAATCTCTTCCAAAATCCGATTTTGTGCAAGAACGGTGCCACACACGTTGGGCTTACCCCATGTTTAAGATTTCAATTTTTCTAACATGGAGGACCAACTGCTTTATCATTACACACCTGAACACCCTTATACGAAACATGAGTCCATAAACAATAAGAGAGAGTAATCGATTTCACATGAATCAAATGTCCTAAATCCACTAGTTTACACAATCAACCAGCACAACAAAAAGGAAGATAGGAGGGATCTTATAATTCAGCATCTTCCATAGCGCTACACTATCTCCCTAGATTGCATAGTACTATGAAGACTGTCAATTCAAAGCATACTAAGCAGGTCAAAGCGAGGAACGCATACTTGAAGCCCTCGGGATGGTTTCAGCCTCGCTCTCGCCCGATGTGAGCAAGGGTGACACCCTACTGAGTCTCGAGATGGTCGAGGCGCTCGTCGAACCTAGCGAACCTGGTGGTGTACTCAGCCTGGTGGGCTGAATACTACTATTGAAACTGGCGCTGGTGGCGCATGAGATGCTGAGTCTGGAGCCCAATCTACTGGAACTGGAGCCCCATTTGGTGGAACTGATCGATGAAGAAATCCATCAACGGACTAGAAGGACTGGAGGAGGGCTCACATCGCTCGGGTCTCCGTCATGGAAGAAGAACCTTGGGGTGTAAGTGGAGGCACCGGTGACTCACTTCTAATGTCACCCTAGGAATTGGCAAAGTGAAACCACTTCCTAAAGCGTAGTATAGCAGGTTTGGGTTTAAATGTCAACCCGGGTCCTAGATTTGATGACTACTCGGTGAATTCTTGTTATCTAGCAATGAAACTTTAGTGCAAGTCTAAACTACCAAGCAAACAAAGCAAGTAAACTGTTGTATTCAGGTTAAGAGAGGTCACCCGGATATGGTTCCCCCTAGACTGCAGTTAAGCCGGATTGTAATTACCAAGTTCAGTTTCTATGATAGTTATACTGCGGAACGTTCTTAAAAAGCCTGAAGTCTCGACTAAAGGTCTTCAGACCCTCTCAATTTGAGTCTCTAGCGGGCGACTAACCTCCACCAGAGTAAACAGATTGAGGCCTTAACAAACAAAACCTCCACTACCGGAGTAAATCCGGTACAGAATAGTGAGTTGGCTCCTCGACTAAACTCACCAACTCCCTACCTTCAATCAAGGATGCTCTATCAACCTAGGCAGATATTCTCATTCTAGGTTAAAGCAGGAACAACAGGAATTTGATCAGGATTCATGCCATTCAATCAATCAAACCTCAATTGAATATAATCAAATCATAGAATCAGTACTTGGGTTCATACAATCAAACCTAACATACAAATCTAGGGTTCTCCATACCCAGATGAATGGGAGAACTACTCCATGGAGAAAGAAGCAAAAGCAGAATCAGACGCGGAATTCATACTGTGAAGGATAGATTCCTGCTCCTGGACGTTGATCGGCACTTCTCAAAGCTCAAACTGGCCTCCAATGGTGATGAAGATCAAGCTAGGGCACTTGGAGACTCTTGTTCGTCGCTTTCTCTCTCTAGGAATCGCTCTATCTCTCTCAAAACTCAAATCCCCTTCTGTTTTGGCTGAAATGTGCTTAAAAGGGCATCAGTGGCCAAAGCACGGTCGAGGGCACGGCCGTGCTTTGCCTCAGCCCGCCCGTGCTTTGGCTAGGGTTAATTACACAGCCATTGTGTTGGGAGAAACACGACCGTGCTTTTGGGAGGACACGGCCGTGCTTTGGTGGACACGGCCGTGCTTTCAGCCCGTGTAATCAGCTCATGTTTGCCAAACTCGAATTAGCTCTCGGCAGTAAAAGCACGGCCACAGAACACGGCCGTGTTCTGTTTTAGGTGTGCCCGTGTTTTGGCTCCAGCTCGACGAAATGACTTCCGAATGCCCCGAAACTCGTGCTTAGCCTTTCCTTTGACGCCTGGGACCTGAAATATGACAAAATAGCACAACCCGGCGTAAAATAGGCCAAAAATACACTACTATGCCCCTCAAACGGATAAAATAGGCTGTGTGATGTAGTGGAGGGAAGGGGACTCGGTGGAGAGGTGGTGTTCGAGTGGGGTGGGGAAGGGTGGGGTGGAGGGGAGAGGGGGAGGAGGGTCGGCGATGGAAGTCAGAAATGGAGGGATGGGTCGGTGGGAGAGGTGGGAGGAGGAAAGGAAAGGGTTGTAGTTTTTATCGGAAAGAGAGGAATATGGATACATTTTAGGGTTTGGGAAAAGAAAGGATATAATAAATTATAAATAAAGGTAATAATTTGGTGTTAATATTGTTATTTCAAAATTATTATTAATCTAATCTTAATCGTTATTTAAAAAATAAAAATAGAGCTAATTAAGGATATAGATGTAAATTGTCACGAGTATTCACCCTAACTCATTCCCAACTCCTCACTGCATTAAATCCTGTAGAATCAAGGAATTGGATTGTGTAGCTATGCTTAGGGTTGTTAATGAGTCGAATCGAGCCGAGCTTTGCCATTGTTCGTGCTCGGCTCGTTAATATATTTCCAGGTTCGAGTTCGGCTCGTGTTCGTCACGAGCTTTAATTTGCAAGTTCGAGCTCGGCTCGTTTATGAAAATGAAAGCTCGAGCTCGGCTCGTCAATATATTTTCAGGCTCGAGCTCGGCTCGTGTTCGTCACGAGATTTAATTTGCAAGATCGAGCTCAGCTCGTTTATGAAAATTAAAGCTCGAGCTCGGCTCGTCAAATAATTTAACAAACCCAAAATCGAGTTCAACTCATAAAATGTTCATGATAGCTCAAGATTGACCGAGAACTGAGCACAAAATTACATTCAAACCTGTAGCAAAGTCTATCAAAGTAAAACACAATATTTATCCCAATTTCAATACATAAAATCCATGAATTCTAATCCTTTTTTATGCCAAACCATTAAATGAGCTTCTTCGCTAGCATTCGAGTTGAACATAGTATGGCTCGAGTTCGGCTCGTTTAGTTAACGAGCTTGTTCGAGAGCCGGCTCGATTAAGATAAATCAAATGTCGAACGAGGTTTTCTCTAATCGGATAACGAGTCGTTTATGAGCGGCTTGGTTCATTAACAACCTAGCTATGCCTATGCGGTCCATCAACCTAAACTGCACGAAGCCCTTTCGACTTCCAGTAACTGCAATAAAGCCCAAGCCCGCCATCTGCATCGTGCATGCATGCTACTAATTAATCCCGGAAAAATGCATCATAATTCATGCACATGTTTGATAAAATTTATTTATAATAAAATACGAAGCAGCTTAAGAAACAAATTTACACACTAGGGAATCCAGATCTAACGTTAAACCTGAAATCCTATCTTATTAATAATTTGATATAATAAGATAAGGAAGTGACCATGTACAACACGCCAACAAATAATAATAAAATTATTATTACCATGCACATTCCTAGCTTGAAATTGCATCTTTTCACTGTCCTGGTACATCTTCCCAGCAATAGAATCTATTAATCCGGGGTAATTACAAGAAACCAAAAGGTAAATTTCCGAAGCCACATCAGCATTCATCGTTTCTTACCACAGGAAAGTAAAAAATCAAGTCATGTTCGGATTATAAGTTATAACCATGTATCCTACCCGAAAAAGAAATCCCAGCTTTTCCCTTCGGTGCATGATACGGTACTATAAAAAGTTCTTACTATTTACCTATAAGTAACTTCTTCTTACACCCTATTCACTACATCACACAGCCGAATCTCACCAAAAAAGCATTCTAACAATGTCGCGACTCTCCTACTACCTCCTTCCGGCCAACATCCTTCTCCTTATCGTCACCTCCGCGGCCGCCACGTCACCACCACCAATCCCCAAATTCACCGGCATCCTGGTCTTCGGCGACTCGACGATGGACACGGGGAACAACAACCACATCCCCCTGGCCGTGTTCAAGGCCAACCACAAGCCCTACGGCGGCAACTTCCCCTTGGGCCACAAGCCCACGGGCCGGTTCTGCGACGGCAGCCTGATCCCGGACATGGTGGCAGGCCTGCTGAACATCAAGCAGGCCGTGCCGGCCTACATGGACCCGGACCTGACGGACGAGGACATCAGGACCGGGGTCGTGTTCGCGTCGTCGGGGACCGGGTACGATGACCTGACGGCTGCCATTGCGCAAGCGATTCCTATGGGGAAGCAGGTGGAGATGTTCAGGGAGTACATCGGACGGCTGGCGGGCGTTGTCGGAGGGATGGAGGAGGCGAATCGGACGGTTGGAGGGGCGTTGGTGATGATTAGCTCCGGGACTAATGATTTTGTGGATAATTATTATGATTTGAAGATTAGGAGGTTGGTGTACGATTTGGGGCAGTATCAGGATTTCTTGCTTGCTAAAGTCGAAGCTTTCGTCAAGGTATGTTTACTGGTTAATTAATCATACTCGCCGATTTTAATCCGTTCGTAGAATTACATATTCGTAACGTTGCTTACTAAACATGATATACGTACTAGGGAATTAATTTGGACGGAATTTTATGCCATCGTATATGTTTCTTTTTTTATCGGAGAATTCTTATTTGCCATCGACACTTTAATTTAGTGATGTCGCTGGCAGACTAAACTCGAGGCTATTTATCCGACATAGTCTGTTATTAGTATTAGGGATGTCTTGAATGCAGTAGCCACCACCTTACAAGTAGTTGCTCACACGAGCGGTGTTACCTGCCCAAAACGTATATGTTGGAATCACTCGCGACATAAAACGAAACATAGAATAAATCATCGATATTTTTCACTTATGGCTAACCTATTCCCTACCCCTAATCAATCCATTTACTTTTTAATCCACAAGAATATATTTATTCCTCTATTTTGGTTGGCCAATTTGATGAACGTACGATGTTGGTTTTCACACGAGCGGTGTTACCTGCCCAAAACGTATATGTTGGAATCACTCGCGACATAAAACGAAACATAGAATATTATTTAATCATGAGAAATATCATCGATATTTTTCACTTCTGGCTAACCTATTCCCTACCCCTAATCAATCCATTTACTTTTTGATCCACAAGAATATATTTATTCCTCTATTTTGGTTGGCCAATTTGATGAACGTACGATTTTGGTTTTCTACGTGTGACCTTATTTTATTTTGCAGGATATATACTCTCTGGGAGGACGTTTAATGGTGGTATCAGGCTTGCCACCAATCGGCTGTCTCCCCATCCAAATGTCAGCATCCCTAGAGCTCAACCCGCACCACAGATCCTGCATCCAAGAACAGAACTCCGAGTCGCAGTCCTACAACGCCAAGCTCGAGAAGCTGCTGCCCGAACTGCAGGCCTCGCTCCCCGAGAGCAAGATCGTCTACGCGAATGTTTATGATCCGCTTCTTGACATGGTAACAGAGCCTCAGAAGTACGGGTTCGAGGAGACGAGGAAAGGCTGCTGTGGGACCGGGCTGCTGGAGGCGGCGTTCCTGTGCTCGCCGTGGAGCCCGACGTGCGGGGACCAAATGGCGGCGAAGTATGTGTTCTTCGACAGCATCCATCCGACGGAGGCGACGTACAGAGTGCTGGCTGACACGCTGGCCGGACAGCTGCTTTCCGTTTATTCACCACCGCCACCTCCGTCTCCATCGCCGTCCGAAAAGCTCCGTTCCGTTTACTCACCAACTCCATCCCCATCTCCATCTCCATCTCCATCTCCATCTCCATCTCCATCATATCATTGATTGGAGAATTTGAAACAAACTACTTGGTTATGAGAGGAGAAAGCGTGCATGGTCTCTACTGATTTGCATCTCTATTAGGAAGATTATTATGTTAGGAGATCGAATCGACGTGACAATCCAAAGGATGGACTTGCTTAAGTTTGTTTAATTATACGTGTTTAATAATTATTGTTTTGGAATTGTTCGGGTTATTTTATTGTTGTGTTTGTTCTAGTCGGAATAAAATTCATAGGAATTATTGTTTGGTATTTAACTAATGTTCTTGCAAGGCAAATGAAGAGAATTCGAGTAGGAAAAAGAGGAGAGAGGCATAGATGACTAGGGTTACAAGGACATGGATTTTGGTTGTGTAATAATTTATAATAATAATTGTCAATGTATTGTTTGTAGAGTTAAATAACTCAATAATTGTTCATGTGGTATTTCGGTGTTAATTCAGTGGCAATTGGATATTAAAGTATCTCATCTGGTACTAGTAGAACAATGCAAATATGGTATTTGAAAAAAGCATAGTGGTAAAAATGAGTTATTTCGAAATAACACGGGATAGCAATTATTCATAAATAACTCATTTTGAGTTATTCATAAATAATTCATTTTAGTACATTTTTGCCAAACAGAGTAATTTATATCCAAATAACTCACAAATCTCAAATACTACATTCAAAACGACCCCATGTGTTCACTACAAAATTGAGGATATTTAGGGACAAACATAAAGGACAACTATTTACACTTGTCTCCGGAAAACCCAATTGTAGTCGAATAGGGGACGAAATGATAAAGTTGTCCTCAAACGCAAAGCAACAGACGTAATCGTTTGCCTAACTTAGTTTGATTCGTTCCCAAAAAATTTTATTTTATTTCAGCGGCTTAATCACCCAGGCGATGAAAATATTAAGAATTTTGAATTTTAAGGTATTTTCATCTCTGCCAATAAAAGAATTGCGAATGTTCACCACTCTTTCCTCCAAAGTCCAAAGCCTCACTAAGAGATATCTTCTCTACTCATTCGTCTCCCAACCCTACGTACAGATAGGGAAGCCGTGAGATACTTGTGGCAGCGCCGTCACCGTCGGGCTCTGTATCTCCGCGACTCCGCCTTGGTATTCCCTTGGTAGCTTCAGATGATTTTCCTGTCTTTTATCTTCTTTTTCTTTTTTTAATCTTTGGCTTCCCGTTGGAATAACCATTTAAGGGCATGAAATCAAATTGGAGCCGCGGGAGCGCACATCTTCCCATCCGCTTATTGTTTTAGGTATTGTGACTACAGTTTAGGGCTTTGCGTTCAATTTTAATTTATCCTCTTGGCTTATTGATTCAATAGATGACGCTATTGATTCTGATGTTTGGTATACTTACCTGCCTCTTCGATCTAGTTTATGCATCTACTTTGCTTCATTGGCTGTTATTCTTGTTTGTTTATATTTCAGTGTCTAGACTTGGTTCTCTGTATTTCCCTGTCAATTTTATATTAGAATTATCAATTTCATCGCTTTTTGTTTATTGTTCGGGAAAATTCACAATGATGGCAATTATGTTGTGATATTGACCTTATTGGATAGAAGGATTAGACTAATTGAGAGAAGGATTCAAATGCTCGATTATGGCATGAGGGAATCAGAATGGTTCTTAGATATGTTCTGTTTTTAGATTGTGCAGTGATAGATTCCACATGAAGAATCCAAGAAGCGAGCCTCATGGTTTTCTAAGCTGAAGCAGTCAATAAGGCAGATTATTAAACACATTTGTCTGCAAATACAGGTTGGTTTATCTATTTTGTTAAATGACATGTAATATATAGTTCCATACGACAAGGATCTTTCTACATGATCACCTCTTGTTTGATGCAGAACATGTTCGGTGATGTTCACGAATCGAAAGTGCAGATGTTGAATTCACTTAAGTAAGAGGGAAAACTGAACCCCAAGATAACATCAAAGTAGTGCAACAGAGGCTTGGGAATGATGATGATAAGGCTGCAAAATAGAAACTAGCAAACGAAAACAAAAGATAGCTGCACAAAAGAATCAATTCATAGACATTAATGCGGTACTATATTTTGATCTTTAAAGCATGTTTGGATTGTAGCTACTTGTTATTTGAATGCATTTATCCATACTCTTATTTCCTGGGTCACACAGATCATATACGGGTTTTCATCGTCCATGGCATCAAGTAACTCTTGACTAGTCTTTAAGAGTTTGGAAGAGAAACATGAGCCTAAGTAAGTGCTTTGAGTATTAAGGTTTGTTATTTTCTTATCATATCTCTTATCATATTATCTAAATTTTCTGATTATTTTCTATAATTTTTAACTTTGTGATTTCTTTTCTTCTTCATTTTCCATTGCAGAAGGATGATCCTTCTGTTATTTGCATAATTGGATATTGGAGTAATTTGAAGATTGCAAACTTGTCGCGACAACAAGAGCAATAAATCATGCCGAGTAAATCAAGTGCTAAGCATGGTTCTTGATCAAAGCAAAGAGGTTCAAAATTTTCAAAGAGTGAAGCCAAGTAAACACTGTATTAATTGGTAGGTGAATGTATCTAGCAACCCATTTGAATGTATATTCTCTTTCCAGAAATTAAAATAAAATAGTTTGACGCAAGTCAAAAATTTTATCTCTTAACTCTCTTATAAGTGACAACTTCTATTCTCATCCCCAGAACTCATGGCAACTTTTTGTCCCCAAAGATATACTATAAGGACTATTGTCCCCAAATCAATTTTCGAGGACAAATTGTTTACTCTAATTTGACATCCGTGGGAAACGACATGTTGACCCAATAAAGGAAAAGGAGACAATATATTATTCCAATATAGCTACAATACTATCATGGAATGGATTACAGGGGGCAACATTTTGTCTCTATAACTACTGTTTAGGGAACGACTTATTGTCTCCAAAATCATGGGTATAGGGACGACATGTTGTCTTCAATAGAAAAGAAATTATACGACAACTCGTGAGTATCGGGGACGACTATCGTCCCTAATATTGGGGACGACCTAGATTTTTGTCGTCCCCAAAAGAATAGAGGACAGGAGTATAGGGAACCACACATTGGGGACGACTTAGTCGTCTCCAAAAATTATGGGGACGATTTTTTCCAATTTCGGGGATGACTTTATGTCGTCCCTAAACCTCCTCTTTTTTTAAAACGTTTTTGTCTATGGATGATAATAAAAATATGACGAGATTGTAACTCAATTTATGTTTCTTAATTTTTTCATTTGATTAGTAATAGTTTTACAGTTGTTCTCGCCATTAAATACATCCTATACTGAGAATTTCGAGCAAACCATCCTAAAATCGAAAAATCAAAGATTCATTCAATAAGTAGAAGCCAGAGAAAAAAATCCCAAGTTACACATGTTTTTAAAAAAAAATTATCAAAATACACACGTTATGAAAATAATTCCCAATCTACGCATGTTTGGGTATTCATCACGGCAGAGAAGGGCGGTGATTGCATCACCGCGGCAGAGGAAGGCGGTGATTGCATCACCGCTGTCGACGAAAGCGGTGAATGCTTCACCGCAGTAAACGGCCGCGGTGAAGGCCTGACCTGCGTCGAAACTTTAAACAAACGTAACTTTGTGCTCGGTTATCCGATCGTAGCGAATTTTTTTTTTATTCCGCATAATTTTTTGATCGAAAAATTATGCGGAATAAAAAAAAATTTCGCTACGATCGGATAACCGAGCACAAAGTTACGTTTGTTTAAAGTTTCGACGCAGGTCAGGCCTTCACCGCCTTTCTCTACTGCGGTGATTGCATCACCGCCTTCCTCTACAGCGGTGATACAATCATCGCCTTGGACAGACGCGATGAAGCAATCACCGTTTTGCTCTCACGCGGTGAAGCAATCACCGCCTTTATCTGACGCGGTGAAGGCCCAAACATGCGTAGATTGGGAATTATTTTCATAACATGTGTATTTTGAGAATTTTTTTTAAAAACATGTGTAACTTGGGATTTTTTCCTAGAAGCCAGTCCCAAAAGCGCATCTTGTAACAAGTGATACCAAAGCGGAGCATGTTAAAGGAGCTGGGGGAAATATATGGACAGAAATGGAATGCAGCAACGGGATAGGATTTACAAAGATAAAGAAGGTGAAATTTCTGGCATTGCCACCTTTCAAGCTTTAAGCTTTTATGCATGTGTGGTGAAGTACGAAGGCTTGCTAGCTGTTGCTGCTTTAGCATACACAATACAGAGGCTCATAAATACAATGTTACTCTTTTTCTGCTCGCCGCTGTTTCCGATCAGTTAATTATAGAATGAACAAGAAGTCATATGAAAAAAGAATATCATGGAGTGATGAAACTCAATCAATGAGAACGTTTCTGCACCAAACAAAATCATCATTTCTAAAATGATGTGGTCAGCTCGAGATATAGCAATATAGTTCTATCTTACTTCAGTGAAGATTGGAATTTGGAAATTAATTATTGTACTTTTAAAAATATACTTTTCATTTCTATACAAAAAAAATACCATTGATGTCACGACCTACGTTTGCTCTTCGAAATGCATAGAAGGAATTTGAATCGTATCTTTTTAATTGAATCGTAGCATATATTCTAATTCCTCTCGTCATAGTTTAGGTTAGACTTCGAATTTTTTTTTGTCTCGGACGAGCTACACATTCCTTTTTCATCTTAATAACGCCTTGAATTGTTTCTAGTTTTGGTGGTATAGTGAATCGATAGTTTTGTTTCTACTTTGTCTGAACATGTTTGTGATTATTTGCCTTTACTTACGATATTTGTTTACGATAGTTTCGTTTCTACCTAAGACTGTGATTCAATTAATCTTTTGTTTCCAGGTTTGGCTGGTGATATAGGGAATTGATAATTATGTTCGTATCTAGGATTGTGATTTAGTTAATCTTTTGTTTCTCGGTTTGGTGAATATAGTGAACCGATAGTTCTGTTTCTATCTGAACTGTGATTCGGTTAATTTTCTGCTTTCGTAGTGGCCATTTTGA